CAGTGTGTCTGTTTTTATGACAGTGCCATGCTGTGTAGGTTATTATAGCTTTGTAGTATAGTTTAAGGTCAGGTAGTGTTATGCCTCCAGCTTTATTTTTATTTATGTATTTATTTATTTATTTTTGCTCAGAATTGCTTTGGCTATGTGTGGTCTTTTGTTATTCCATATAAATGTCTGGATAGTTTTTTCCATTTCTGAGAAAAATGTAATTGGAATTTTGATGGGGATTGCATTGAATTTGTATATCACTTTGGGTAGTATGGACATTTTCACAATGTTGGTTCTTCCAATCCAAGAGCATGGGATATCTTTCCATCTTCTTGTGTCCTTTCTAATTTCTCTCAGCAGTGGTTTGTAGTTCTCATTATAGAGATTTATCACATCCTTGGTTGGAAGTACTAGCCAGAGCAACCAGAAAAGAGAAGGAAATAAAGGTCATCCAGATTGGAAAAGATGAAGTCAGACTGTCCCTGTTTGTAGAGGACATGATCTTATATATCGAACAGCCTAATGCCTCTACAAAAAAACTCTTGGAGTTGATAAATGATTTCAGCAAAGTTGCAGGATACAAAATCAACACACAAAAATCAGTAGCATTTCTATTCTCCAATAGTGAACATGCAGAAACAGAAATCAAGAAAGCTTGCCCATTTACAATAGCCACCAAAAAAATAAAATAGTTAGGAATTGAGTTAATCATCTGTGCCTTTTAAATTGCCAAATCTAATGGTCTCTTTTTCATACTCAAATGATTTCATTTCCCTGCATTTTCGGCCACTTAAGAATCTTTGACTTCTATAACACTCCTCCCCTTCTCTTCCAGTTTGCTTTATTATTATTAAGTGCTCACTGTTATCTTTCAAAATTATGCCCTGGTACTCTGCTTTTTCACTTTAAAATCCCCCCTGAACAAGACAATCAGCTTCATTTTCATGATCTTCCCACTTAAATACATATCAATAACCTGCAAATCGTATATCTATCTACAACCCGGTTTCTCTCTCAATTTCTATTTCCAACTCTCCTGTCCATCTAAATTTATTATTTCTACTTTAAGCCAATGAAACTACCATTCCCCTAAAGCTTGAAGGCCCTGAGTCACCATTAACTCATTCTCATCCTTCAGCTTCTCCATCCAACTGGTAACCAAATCCCATGTTCCCTCTAAAACATCTCTCTGCATCTATGCACCTGCCCTGATCCTTCCCCGACCTGGGTCTCTGTGACCTGTCACTCCGTGAAGTCTAGCATGTAACATTTCTTGGCCAGACTAATCTGTGTTCCTCCTCTATCAGCCACTGTCCACATGAAAATCAGTTATCTTTTAAACATACAGTTCATATCCTGCCTTTCCTTTTCAGTGCTCCCTGTTGGCTCCAGGAAAAAGTGTCTGCATTCCAGGTCTACCTTTGCTACCCAGTGGGCTGCTCTTTCTCCTCACACCTGGAACTGCAGCCACACCTGCCTACCTGCCTGTTAATGTGTATTACAGGGGCTTTCCTCCTACACACCTTTGCCCATTCTGGCTGAATTCTGACTTATCCTTCCAGACCAGATTCAGAGGCTACCTTCTCAGTGAAACCTTTTTTCTTTTAAGTAATCATTTAATTGAGGCATAATAACATATAGTAAAGTGCACAGATCTTTAGAATGCAGTTCGACAAGTTTGGACAACTGCACACACCCCCATCGATACACAGAGCATTGCCATCACCCCAGAATTCCATCTTATCCCTCCCACCCACTCTCACTCTTCCTTCCACCAGAGGCAAACAACCATTGATCTGATTTCTGTTTCCACAGATTAGTTTCATCTGTTTTGTGCATCATGAAAGTGGAATCAATGGTATATGGTTTTTGCTTCTATGTCTGCCTTCTTTCACTCATAAACTTTCTGAGACTGATTCCTGCTGTTGTAATATAAGTAGTTTAATCCGTTCAATTGCTGAGCAGGATCCATTGTATAGACATACCACCGTTTGTAAGTGTAAACAACATTTACTTCTTCATGGACATTTAGAGTTTTGGGGGGGATGGAGGGGTTGCAATGACACTGTCTTCTCTCTCTGCGCTTCCCTCTTCTAAGCTACACAGCATTAATTTATTGTACATGGGTCTCTCTTCCCCACTTTACTCTAAGCCCCTTTGTAATAATAATATTTAATATCTTTTGGGCACTTACATGTGACAGGAAGTGTGCTAAGTGCTTGATTTCCATCAGCTCATCAATCATCACAACAATACCATGCTATAGACAATATGCTTACACCCACTGACAGAGAGGAAGCTGGGCCCTGCAGAAGTCAAGTTCCTTTTTAAAGTTAACCCATCTGGTGAGGAGCAGAACCAAGATCAGAATCAAGATCCATCTGATGCCAGCATTGCAAACTCTTAACAGTGATGCCATAATACTACACATCTGGTCATGAGGAGGCTCTCACTTTTTAAAAAGTTAAATTCAATACTTTTCTGAAGAAATTCAGCACTCATCAAATATGGCAGTGGTTGATCCAAGAAGACACAATCTATTCTTCACTGATAAGCCAAGCAACCGCCCCTGAGATGGTTTCATAATGAATTCTTATTTCAAAACAGCCCTTCTATTTTGCTCATAATTTCATGAGCCAGAACTCTGGCAGGGCTCGGCTGGGCAGTCCTCACTTGGGGTCTCTCATGTGGCTGCAGTCAGATGTCGCCTGGGCTGGATGTCATGATGGCTCACTCACACAGCTAGCAATCCATGCAGACTGTCAGCAGGAGCCCAGCTTGGACTATCGACCCTGCACCAACACGTGGCCGCTCCAGCCCAGCAGTCACAGGGCAGTCAGAGGCTGATTTCTTCCTGAGCAAGCATCCTAAGAGAAACAGGCAGAAGCTTCCCAGCCTCACAAGTCCCAGAGCATTTCTTCGGCCATGCTCCACTGGTCAAAGCAGTCACAAAGAACACAGCTTCAGGCAGAAGAGATGAAGACACCAGGGCTTGATAAGAGGAATGGCAAGGTCACATCACAGGGGAGCTAGTAGGGTGGACAATGGTATGGTGGCTATCTTTGGAAAACACCAGCTGCCACAGCCCTCTCCTTAAGATGGTCTGATTTGGGTCAGTCACACAGGACACTGATGGTAAAGACCTTCAATTTGGAAAATTCCTCTTTGGGATCAATAGCATCCTCATTCACTGAATGTCAGAAATTAGGTGGGTTTTACTGGGAAATCTAAATAGGGAGATTCATTTTTAAATTTGTTCATTTAAAAGTTAGTTTATTGGCATGGGACCAGGAATGTGTGTTTTCAGAAACCCATAGTAGTAAATGTATAACTTTACAGCCACGTTGAACAAAATGAGTATCTTCAGATAGTTAATTTTGCAATTTATGTCATCAAGGGGAACTGTAAACATCTCCAAATGAAGTAATGCTTATGAGTATTGTAAAAAATACCTAATCCACATGAAAAAGTACTCACCATGACTAATCATCAGGGAAACGCAAATTAAAACCACAATGAAATATCTCACTCCAGTTAGAATGGCTATTATCAACAAAACAGAAAATAACAAATGCTGGCAAGGATGTGGAGAAAAGGGAGCTCTCCTGCATTGTTGGTGGGAATGGAAATTGGTACAGCCATTGTAGAAAGCAGTACAAAGTTTCCTCAGAGAACTAAAAATTGAACTACCCTATGACCCAGCTATCCCACTACTGGGTATATTCCCAAAGGAAATGAAATCAATATATCAAAGAGACACCTGCACTCTCATGATCATGGCAGCACTGTTTACAATAACCAAGAGATGAAATCAACCTAAATGCCCATCAAAAGATGAATGGATAGGGCCAAGCCCGTGGTGCACTCGGGAGAGTGCAGCGCTGGGAGTGCAGCAGCACTCCCGCAGCGGGTTCGGATCCTATATAGGGATGGCCGCTGTGCTCACTGGCTGAGCGCAGTGTGGCCGGTCTCAAATAAAAAGAAAAGATGAATGGATAAAAAAAAACTTGTGTTTTATATGGAAATAAAACAATGGAATACTATTCAGCTATTTTTAAAAAATGAAATACTCTCATTTGCAGCAACATGGACGGAACTGGAGACCATCGTGTTAAGTGAAGCCAGAAACAGAAAGATAAACACCACATGATCTCACTCATACGTGGAAGCTAAAAAAAAGGTAGTTCTCATAGAAGTAGAGAGTAGAATAACAGTTACCAGAGGCTGGGTGAGGAAGGGGGACTGGGGGAAGGGAAGTGGTGGATTAATGGATACAAAGCTATGCTATCTACCCTAAGTGAATCAATGTGTAGTATATGCCTGTATTGAAACAACACACTGTACCCCCAAATATGTACAAATAAATGTTAAAATATTTTTTTAAATTTTATCCAAGCTATGATCACTTAGAGTAAAAACTGGCAATTTAAATAAAGCCTCTTGTTAAATTTAAAGACTCTTCACAGTCTCAGTGAAGCTTAGGTTACACAAGGCACTGCCCCAGTTGTACCTGGCTTTGCAGATGTGTAGCTGAGGGCAGTTGCTGTGCCTATGACATATATGTACTGCAAAGTCCTCCTCATATGTCAGACAGAGAACGTTCCCCACTTGGTCAAAAACAGTTATGAGAGTTGAGCTTAAACCACAGAGCTAAAGAAGTTTGGCCTCATTTTATCAAGGAATAACTTTGGGACTTCAGAAGAAAATATAGTTTCCATTCTACTGGGGACAGGAGGTGGCTGAATGGGCCTTACCTAGGCTCATGTAGGACGGCACTATGAGAAATATGAAGTGCAGTTCTGGCACCGCCTTGAACACAATCCTGGCAAGGAAAGAGAAGGTGGGACGGTGTTAATAGCAAAGCAATTCCATTAGCTGGTACCTTATAGAGACAGATGCTGTCGCCTAAAAAACGAGTTGTTCAGGGCCGGCCCGGTGGCGCACTGCTACAGTGCGCTGCTTGGGAAGCGCAGCGGCGCTCTTGCCGAGGGTTCGGATCCCACATACAGACCGGCCGCTCACTGGCTGAGCAAGGAGCTGGGGCAACACCGAGGGTTGCGATCCCGTTGCCGGTCCCGGTCCGGTACGGGCGCAACACTGAGGGTTGCGATCTGTTGCCGGTCACGAAAAAAGACAAAAAAAAAAAAAACGAGTTGTTCATAAACCTACATGGGCTCCTTTGCTCCCTGCCTCCAAAGGCAAGAACATCTTCAAGGCAATTTCTTTTTTCCCCTCTACTTTGTCCTAGATTCCAAAAGGCCCCTTTTCTATCTGTCCATGGAGGCAGAGAGAATAAAGGGTGCCATGTTCATATGACACACCAGATTTCTGCTAATATTAACCTTTGACCTGGCATCTGGACATTCTGGTGTGACATTACAAAGTGACTTGAAAGCAGAGGCCACCACCCCCAATGTCTGTGCAGGCTGTCAGGGCTGCATCACTATGACTCAGTAGCTCTGCTGAGCATATTTTGGTGCAACCTCTTATTCAGGAAGCTTCTGCAGTCTGTCATGTTAGTCAACATTTCTAAAGATAAGATTGAGGAAAACTATTTTTAGAAACATCCAAGCTTGTGACTTTACTTTTCCCCACTCCCCCCTAAATTAATTTCTTTAAATGACTGCACCACCTGTTTGCCTCAAATGAGAGCAGTTAGAGATGCACACTGAACAGAGAATGGACTCAAAGAATTAGATCATTTTCTTTCAGAAATACCACTGCTATTCAAAGTAAACGCTTTAATATCACCACAAATTACAAGCAAATTAAATCCCCCCCCAAATTTCACATCATTTTAAAAATATTTCAAAACTACCCACAGGATCTTTTTCATGTTCACCACTGCAAGGCCTGTCCACTCACCAAATGATCTTTTTGCAACATCCAACGGAATACTCATCCATGGCTGCAAAGAGGTGCATGAACAATGTATTCAGAGGCTGCCGGAGGAAAGAGAACACAGATTAAAGGCTAAGTCAGCATTCAGGCTAGGGCAGGGCAGGGTGGGAGGAGGATTTCAGAGCAGCCATAGACACAGAGCTGCTGGCATATGTGGGTGATATTTTATGTGTAAGTGATGAGACACCCAGGCAGCATTTGAGCTGTTTCACTGACTCTCTTCATGGCCTTCTGTCCTCCTAGATCAGAATTATTCAAGGAAACAGGATTCATAAATGAGTCCAGAGCACCTGGCCCTTCCTCCTGCTCTCACGGATGGGCTGTGGGCAGGGAAGAGCCTGCAGGAGAGTGAAATCGATTATTAACTCAGTAGCCTTGTCCTCAGGGGTGTCTATACCAAGTGAAAGACAATCCCCCTTTTCCCAAGGCTCTTGAGTCAGCAGCTGCTGTTCTATTCATGCGACACAAGGGAAAGATTCTCTTATGAATTTAAAGGATAGAAGGCAAATCCCACATTATGAATCCAATGGCTTGTTTTGTTCGACATTCCCAAGGTCAGAATCAAATTTTAACTACTCTGGAGATCCAGAAAACCTGGGAGATGAAAACTCAAAGTAGCAAGATCCTAACATGACTTTCAGGTTAAATCTTCCTGGTTGTTAGAGAAACTTGTCCCATACTTCTGAAGACATTTTTAGTAGCCTAAATAATGAATAGTTGGTCTATACATTCATACATTGGTCTGCTAAACTTGCTACCCCTGTGTTTATGAGCAAATCTTCAAATTCTAGAAATAGTGCAAATGTGAGGTCATTGCCAGTGAAGGTAGTGCTTGCACCTAGATCCGGGCAGCGGGAGTGCTGTCTGTATTTCTTGTCTGTAATTTTCTCAATGGGCTTGGTTTGCCAGTTGTAGGTCTGTGTGCCCTCTCTCCACTCCTGTTACGTGGGGTGTGACTCAGAAGCACTCAGAAGGAAATGGGCTATGCATAAAATGGTAGGAGAATCAGCAGTTTGATTCACCAGCTTGAGAACTTTCAAAAGGCAATACACAAACTCCAAAGTCCAGACAACAAGAGCAACAACAATGCTGTTACGTGGGGTGTGACTCAGAAGCACTCAGAAGGAAATGGGCTATGCATAAAATGGTAGAAGAATCAGCAGTTTGATTCACCAGCTTGAGAACTTTCAAAAGGCAATACACAAACTCCAAAGTCCAGACAACAAGAGCAACAACAATAACATGATTTTAAGCACTTTCTATATATTAACTCATTTAATCCCATAACAATCTTACCAACATTTACTTTATGTTCTGAATAGGACTAGCCTTAGAAGCATATGGTTTATTACTTGCTCGATTTGCCTTCCAAGTCTTCTTCTCCTTCAGAAATATTACAATTCAAGATTTATTCTTTAGCTTTAAAATACAAATCATCACACCAGTTGCAAATACCACTGGGATAGATAATACAATAAGCCTTAAGGCTCTATACCAGTGCTGCACAATAGAAAAATAATACGAGCCACAAATGCAAGCCACAAATGAAATTTTTAATTTTCTAATAGATATATTTAAAAAGATAAAATGGTGAAATTAATTTTTAATATATTTTATTTAACTTATATTCAAATTATCATTTCAACAAGTAATCAATATAAAAAATTGTTCAGGATATTTTACACTCTTTTTCTTTCCTACTAAGTATTTGAAATTTGGTGTATATTTTATCCTTACAGCAGATCTCAATTCAGACTAGCCACATTTCAGGTGTTTAACAGCTACCTATAGCTGGTGGCTACCATATTGAACAGCCTGGCTCTGCACTGTTGTAGGAAGTAGTTTAAAAAGAAATAATCTTAAGAGAAAAAGAAAAGAAACAAAAGGGAAAAGAGATTATGAACAATTTATCATTTATAATTACAATTTATAATTTTCAAAAAGGCAAAAATCATGGCCCTAATGCAGACATAAAATGAACACACGGCAGAGATTTATTCAACTTAACTCATCAATTAATGAGGCAACTAGTGAGATGATAAAAAATGATTCCCTGCACTTGAGGAGGTGGATACTTCAGATCACTTAATAAGGGAATGTAAGAACAAGATTGCTGGGTTAGATACAAAACAGTTCACATTTCACGGGGCCATAATCCATAACCTTTGAGGTTAGCTCTTTCACCAGACAGGAATTATTGACATCTCAAATGGACAAAAATCTGCATGTTAACAACTGTTCCTACAGAACTGTAAAATACCCAGTCAATGGAAAGTCAATCAAAGGCACAAGCATTGACTGAGAGAAACTTTTTGGTCTATTTCTGATCTTGGGATAGCCTTTTTGACAATGATCACTGGGTGTTCAGGAGGGCAGGGGTAGGAGAGAGCACAGAAGGTGAGGGGAAGGGTCCATCCAGCTGAATAGAGGCTGAACAATTTGCTCAGGGGCATGCATGTATGCACATGCACACCATGAGAGAGGGGTGAATTCACTCATGCACTCGGTTGGCATCCCCACTTTTTCTTACATCCAGGCTCTAGGAACATACCACTGAATTCCACTGACAGGTGAGGGCACTGCCCAGAGTTGCAGCCTCTGGCTTTCCATAGAAACTGGGGCTGGTCTTTGGCCTGGCTCTGGCAGGCTGTGTGCAGGGAAAGCTCAGACCTGGCACCAGGTACCCAGGCCAGACTCCTAGGAACCACTAACCTAGCTCCCGTTAGCTGACAGGATGCCATGTGCCCACAGCTAGAAGGCATCAAGTAAGCCAGAGTCTACAGGGCATGCTGGAAATTATAGAGTGTGACATAAGTCTGATGCTCTGTTGTCATGATTACAAGGGCAAATGAATAGCAGGCAGGTACCCTCTGAGCATATCAAAGACTTCAGACACCAACACCCATAGAATGATGTGAGAGCTGGAACATGTTTGACACGCCCCCTTATTCCTGATCCGAGCCCTCATTAGCAGAGTATGTCTGGGCCTTGCCAGCAGCTGGGTGATTTGCCTCCTACCTATCCATGCCTGTCCCCTCTGGCTTCTTGCTCTCCACCCTCCTTTCCTCCTCACCAGCCAACTTCATCTTTAACTGTCAAGGTATTGTATACATACTTTCTGTTTGAGTTTTGGACTGCTCGGCCCCAAACCGAAAAGACATTATTGCAAACACAGGACTTCACAATTAAGGCTGTTCTAATAAGCATTGTGCGGTGAGTTCTTAATGTGCATGTTATTTCACCGTCGAGCTCCCTGAACACTGAAACCCAGTCATCCTGCTTGGCAACATTCCAGTTGGGATAGTCCAGGAAGGTGGCCTGGGCCATGATCTCCTTGTCATTGCAGAGGGTAATAGCAAGGTTTGCCTTTTCTCTGTGGAAATGATTAAAATTGCACACATGATCGAGATCAGCAAAAGTGACACAAGGACATGTCATTCTCTCCCTCCTCAGGCTGCTGGAGCTCAGCGGCTGCCGCATGGTCTCATAATCTTTGGCAAAGGTGGAAAGGATGTTGCAGCAACTTTGGGGAAGATCTTTCAGGACATCTGGTGCCATCAACTAAATTTCTATTTAAAATTGCACTTTATTAGAAAGGTGCTATGTTTATGATATCAAGTGTCTAATACCCTTCCCTTGGAGATTGGCTCGGAAATGTATTTGAGGGCACAGTTTTCCCTATTCTCTCCATATTGCTACTACTACTGTGTTGGCCTAAATGTGTACAGTTACGGTGGCCACTTGTCCCTCTTTGCCCAGGACTGAAGGAGTGTACACAATATGGGACTCTCATTGATAAAACCAGGGAAGTTCTGGGCAAACTGGGATGAGCTGGTTACCTCCAAACAGGCACAGCAGCAAAGCTAAGCGTTTAGCTTCATCCCTATCAGCATTCTTAAGAAGCAATTTCTCCAAATCCTGAGCCCTGTCCCTCAGCTAATTGATTCATATGGAATCTGATCTTCTGAGATATCACTTGATCCAGCGGCAAAAATGGAGACCCTGAGGGGTCTTGCTTAAACTAAGGCAACCCAGCGAGTTAATTAAGCAAAAAAATGAGAAGCAGGACTTCCACCTCTTATTCGGGTGGTTGTCTTGATGACCCCAACCAACTGCTGCCCTGTCCTATGTCCTACCAAGACAGCAAGAGCTATGACTTAGAGAAAGTATATAGTTCACCATATGGAGAACCGTTTGCCTATAAATTGAAATGCAGTTTTCACTTTTTCAGCAAAATGAAAACTACTGGTATCCTAATTTGGAAGGAAAAATATTTAAACATTCCCTCAAAAAAAAAATAAAAGAAGGTAGGAGCTACCCATTTTCCTTATTGAGGAGAATAGGGGAGAAGAAAGCATAC